TTTGTTTCATATTGACAAAAAAAAAAACTATTTGATTTATGATTTAATATATCACATGAAATAAAGATAATAAGATTTAAATATTCAAATAAATACCTGACTTGAATTAATAGAGACAAAATGATAATGTTATTGAGAATGTATAAGCATATAAAGATGAAAGTTGAATTGAATAGCAAACATTTGCAAATCTAGATATAGAAATTATTGTAGAAAGAAAAAGGTTTAAGTGAAATTTCTGTCTTATTAAAATTTGAAATCATTTTTTTTTTGTTTGGTTCAAATCTGTTTAGTCAAATGGCTAAATAATATCGATTAGTTTTGCACTATATGTTAGAAATGATGAAAAACTATTGTCGAACTTAAGTCTCAATTAATTAAATGCAAAATTTCTTGTTTTGCTAAAATTAATATACAGTGTGCCTCAATTCAATTTACCACTGATCATGAATAACATATGAAGTTCACAGAATCAAATTTTTGTATCTCCGTTGATTATTGCAGATATGAACAAATAATTATTTCAACTATTGTCGAAGCATTTATTTAACTACAAAGATTAATAAAAATAAACTTTTGAATATTCAGGCTACAATGAAAGCTATATATGTACATACGCGATGAAAAAAGAAGAAACTCAAAGTTGATTTACTCTTATTATGTATTATAGTAACAAAATATATCATCTTTTTTTCTGATGTATTCTATCTTCGATGAACTTGATCTATTAATCATGATTAGGGATGCAGTAAGATCTGTGCTTTCTCGCTATATATATATATAATCAAACGGTAGTAGTCTGAAACAAGAAAAACAAAGAGCAGATGTTCAGTTGTGGCATATTGTATTTTTCGTATAGAATTTTCCTAACATTTCTTTTCTGACTGTTCCATAGAACTCAAATTTGTTTTTAAATGCATTATAAAACGAAATTTAGTCAAATATTTAATTCGAGTGGATTTCATATTAAATACCTATTATCAATTTTTCTGTTCGTTAAAGTTAAGCGATAACGTAATTATCCATTTATCTGATTTAATACAAAGAAGAAAATTTAATTATTTGAAAAATTTTAGAATAAAACTCTTCATCAAATTAACTCAAAGTAATATATATGATAGGCCATAAGTAGAACTACGACAAAAAATAGAATATCTTCGCGTCAATTCAATCAAATGAACTGATTTTCCAGTTAGTGATAGAAGTTTTACGTTTTTTCTCATATGGATGAGATAGATAAATAACGCTATTGTCCGTATAATCAAAACGAATTTTATGAATTATACTACATTAATGCATATAGAGTAAATTTTTGAACGTAGAACACTAGTTTTGTAATACTTTTAAAAACTTGCTCTGTCTGCATCAATAGAATATCATTCCTAAAGTTCATTTTGATTTCTTATTATTATTCTCTTATCAAGAGACTCATTCTACTGACGATCTCAATTAGAGATCATATGTTGCAAGTGTAAATAAAAATTTTAAGTGGTTTCATACTATAAAATCTTTCTTTTGGGCTTATGATCACTCTACTAAACTTTTAGTCTATTACAGGAAATTACAAGAAAAATCGCAACAAGAAGTTCCTATCATAAATTCTCCCATCAATTACTCTCATAGTCCCTATAATATCCTGAAAGTTTCATCTCAAATCGATGTTGTCGTTCTGTGATAACACGTTTGCAATGACAATTGAAAACTATCTATGAAATGCTTCAAATGTATTTTTTTCACTTTACAGTGGTATTTGTTTACCCTATCCGTATTAAAAAAAAGCGTTCAATAAGTTTCTATCACTAACCAAAAGATCAGTCAACTGAAGAGTAGATATTTTAATTTTGCATCGTAGTACTATTTACGGTTGACTCTGTATATTAATGTCTAGAAAATAAACTAGACGATCAGATGATTTTATTTAACTCATAAAACATTTATGAAATATGAATCTATAATCAGTTAGAATATTGACATACCTAAGATTTCATTATATATTTCATATGTATTGTATAATATTGGTCATAAAAGTCAACTAAAAATTTTCCATGAAAAATTTATAAAATATCTAAAACATAACAAAAACATGTATTTGTAATAACATGTTCTAAATTAGATTATTTCTTTTTTTAACACGAGAAGAAGAAGAAGATTTTTGTAATTGTTTCTGTTTTTGACGAGCACGTATTCGTTTATGTTTTTCTTCACTCGTTAAAGTTTTTTTTTCACGTAAAGATTTTTCCCATTCACGACGATGTTGAACATATAATTGCATTGTTATTCGAGCATCTTCTACCTAAAAATATTATTACATTTTATATCATATGTTCTTTTTAAATAATAAAACAAAAATTTTAAACTTACAGAATCATGTGCACCTGTTTGAATTTTTAATCCTAATACTTTATCAGCAAGTGATTTTAATGATGGTAAACCACCATTAAATAATGATCGAAAACCTTTATAACGTTGTGTATCTCGAATACGTCGTTTTGGATGACTTAAAAATAAAACCTTTGAAAAAAAAAACAAAAAACAAAAATTTTATTTTTCTTCAAATATTTATTTTTGTTTTTATATACTTACTTGAAGATCATTATGTATAGCATGACCAACAAGTGTTCGATGTTCAATTATATCTGACACTTCTTTTTGAATAACATCCAAAGGAATTCCTAAATGATGATAAAAAAAAAACAAAAGAAATTTTTTAATTGATTAAAATAAATTTCAAATAAAACCATTTTGAAGATGTTGTTCGGTAATACCACTAATTGATGTTCGATAATCAACAACAGGTTCTATTGGTTTAACATATTTATCATAAAGACATTGACCAAGTTGATTAACTATGGATATACGAGCAAGCATATTATCAAGACCCATTTCACCAATACCAACCATTTCGCAATCTAGACATACAGCTTTTGTTAATCTAATTTGATGACATAATGAAAAATAAAAATCTTTGAATATCATAGAATAAAAAAAAAACACTGTACTTTGGTGGTCGTACTGGACTTTCTGATATGTCAATTTTTTTCTTTTTGTTCGTACCGACAGGTAATGTTGTCTAAATGAATATAAAATAATTAAAATACAAGTAAATATATCTAAGAATCGTACAGCTAAATTTTTCCAATTTGATGAAATCTCATTTTTATTGATAATTATCGACATAGTAGTCTGAAAAAAATAATAATAAAAGTATCAAGAAAATTTTTTTCTCTACGTCTGGTTTTTACATTTCGTAACATAATTATTAACCAATAAAATTTCGCTTGAGACAACAACCTTATTTATTTGTCAGTCAGTCAGTCAGTCAAATCATTCTAGGTGTTTATTGGATATTATACTTCTGTCAGCATATGTGGCGCTGCTATTTAATTGTAAATCTCAACATCTATATCAACAACACTCGAGTGAAGGAAAGAATTTGCTCATGTATGAAGAATTGAACTGAGTAATTTTAGCTTTCAACCCAGTCAAATTAATCAGAGTTATGAACAATATTATTAATTTTGATTGTTTTCTTTTCATTATTAAAAAACCAACTTTGTAGATGGAAAATTTGAAAAGAGAATTATAGATTGATTTGTTATAAAAATCTTCTATGGTATCCTCTATGAATGATTAAATTATAACAATACATCAAAGAACAATGAGTTCTGAAAATAGGGAATCATAAATAATCAAACATAACGATTGAATTTAAACAATCATTTCGTTTATATGTAATATTAGCTACTGTCATTTTACACTCATACCAGTAGAATAAACTTTCATGATGAGAGAAATTCGTTATAAAAGAAAATTTTTCTCTTAGGTAGAAATTTATGGTAATTCACTAATGAGACCAATTTTACGTGTGTTAAAATTTAATTTGGTTTTATTTAATCACGCTCTTTGGATTATCAATAACTTATTTGATTTCACATGAATATGTTGAACTAATAAAAACTTGCACAACATTAAACTCTTTAACTCTGATAGCAATTTGACAAGAGTCACTAATAAAATAACCACATCAATAGATTATTGGTCTCACTCATATGTTACTAATGATGTGAATAAAATGACCAAACACATCATCGTGCACGCGGATTTGTTTAAACAGTCTAGTGATCATTAGACGAAAAGAAAGTGTCGAATGATTTGAAAAATAGTTCTTTGCTACTTCACAACGTTAGTTTTAGGCTAACAAAAGTACATTTTTTTGGTTTAACTAAGATGATAAAAGAAAAGAAAAAGATATGCAAAAATATTTTTAATAACATATGCACTGAAGATACTCTTCTAGAACACTTCTTTAATCATTCTATAATAATTTAGTCAATATGAGTATTTTATTAACAATAAATATTTTACTCGACTTTCTTTACAATAAAGTTTACAAAACAATATGAATGATATATGTCATGCCTCTTTTTTTTTACTACTCGATGGTCACTGTAGAATTCATTACATGGTTTAACCTCTTTTATTCGACAAGTTATTGAGGAACCCATCAAACTCATTTTATTAACTAGTAAACATTTTCGTCGATAAATGTATATCATACAGCACATCTTCTAGATGTATGTTGCCTGAAAGTATACAAGACTTCTAAAGAAAATTCTAGTTTTCCAAATTTATCGATTTGATATCCTCATGTTTACTAACATAGAATGAGTAACGGATCACATGGTTGAGTTGTTTTCAATAGTATTTCTATCTATGTCCATGCTAGTGAATGTTTGAAGATTAAAGATTTATTCTTTTATCTAGTATTTGTTCATATTGTCTTCGTAAAATATTAAGATGATCTAATAGTTTCACCGAAAAAACAACGATGAGTTGTTGTTTTTATGAAAAAAAAAAAAAACAGTTTTTAAAGGTCACTTGATTCGTTATGATAAATAACCAATGAAAATGTAACAAGATAGACAAGGAGATGAAATGATATACAAGCAAATTTTTTTCGTTTTTTTTTTTTTTTTTTGTATTGTTTTATTATTTGTTGAATGATGTTTCCATTATACGTGAATCTCGCTATTATCTTATGGTTTTGTACAACAATTAGCAATGGAAATATTGAACAAACTGTATTACGTGGTGTTCAAACTTCACGTAAAAACATGAACTTTTATTTAAATGAAAATGATAAATTAATTTTTTAAAATTTAGTTCTTTCAATGTATGTTCCATCAAAACCATTTACTTGTCTTGATGGTTCATTAACAATTCCATTTGAATTTGTTAATGACGATTATTGTGATTGTCAAGGTATAATTGAAATAAATTGTTTATTCAATTAAATATGTTATTTATCTTAGATGGTAGTGATGAACCAGGAACATCAGCTTGTCCAAATGGACAATTTTTTTGTGAAAATAAAGGTTATTTTGGTACATTAATACCATCACATTTTGTTGGCGATGGTATATGTGGTATGTATTATAATTTAATAGATATGATTTATTTAAAGAAAAGACTATTTTTTTTTAAATAGATTGTTGTGATGGATCTGATGAATATGAAACAACAGTTGTTTGCAATAATACTTGCTTGTAAGTATTCGAAAAAAATATGTTTTGTTTTCATGAGTTAGTGAGGATTCTATTTGTTTTTGTTTCGCTTGACGACATTCGTCCTTTTTGTCGCGTTTCATATTTTAGTGCATCACACAGTCCTCATCGTTCATTAATATTAAATTTAACAAACAATTTAATTTTTTATCAAACAATATTTAATCCAATATTTTCAAATAAAAATAAAAAAACTATAAAATTAAAAAAATCTAAACATCAAACGTCAAAAGTTATATTTAATGCCACTAAGATATATAGTCAACATGGTTTATTAATCGATAAATATATGGATAAAACAATCGATGATGATAATTATATGAATAATTCATTTCTAAAAACATATTTTATACGTTTTTTATGTATATTTTGTTTTGTGTTGTTGATATATTATTATCGTGATAGTCTTTTGAAATCATTCCGAGAACGACATAAACGTTCTGTTTTAAAATATAGTGTTTAGTTTAAGCATACAATTTTTACTTTTGTTTATAAATTGATCTTCTACGAATATTTTTTTTATTTTTATTCGCTAATAACTATATCCATTAAGTCAATACAGACGCTTTTTCTTGTTTACTATGTACGTGTATTTTTCTTTTTGTTGGATGTTATTTATTTTATTCTGTTATTAAATAATCAGAGATTAGTTTAATAGAATTAATTTTTTCTTCTGTTTAGTGAGTTAGCTCAAAAAGTTCAAGCTGGACGTGAAGCCAAACGAGCATTACATGAAGCAGGTGTAGCAAAAAAGAAACAAATTATGGCAAGTACAATAGCTAATAAATCTGAACGACAAGTAAATTTAATTAGAAAAGAAAAAAAACAGACATTCGTTCATTTGTTGCTTTTTTTTTTCAGAAACAACTTGATGAATTTGAAAAAGATTTAAAAAAACTTGAGAATGAATTAAAAGAAAAAGAAGGTAAAATTAAAGAAAACCCAGTTAAATAAATTTGTATTTGTTTATTTTCAATAGAATTAAAACGACAAGCTGAAATATTAGAAAATGCAGCAAAAGAAAAACATAACAAATTATGGGAAGGTTTGTTTATTAAACATATTATTCAATAGTATGTTTTTATTTATTTCCGAGTAGAAAAACGTGCTATTCAAGACCTTATCTCACGTAATAATCAAATACGTGAAATATTTGCTGATTTAGATACAAATGGAGATTCATTGTATGAATTATTTTTTGATTTAATACTAAAAAAAAAAAATTGATTCAATCTTTATTTTATTCATAGAGTATCAATTGCTGAATTACAAAAACATACAGAACTTGATATAAATCAAAAGAATGAATTTACAACTGAAGAAGTTCGGGTATAGTTTCTTTTGTTAAATCTCTATTTAAAAATTCCATATTTCTTCTTTTGATTAACTAGTCAATACTTGGATCTGATTCAGTTGATTTGAATGAATTTAATACATCTGTATTTGATCAAATATCAAATTCATATCAAAAATTACCGGAACCAACAAGACCAACACCTGAACCAACACCACTTGCTGAACCATCAATAGATTCAATAACAACTCAACCATCATTATTAGAAACGCCTGTTGATGAAGATGATTTAAGAACACACACACGATCTTCATATAAAAATGAAGATGATAGTGCAGATGATTATGAAGAAGATAATCATCGTCAATCATCGTCAATAGCGACAGTAAGACAATTAAATTAAAAAAATGTTTATTTGACATTTGTGGTTTTTTTTGTAATTTATAAAGTCACTTGAACATGAAAAACATATTCATGATAGTGTAGCTCCAGAATATAATGATGAAACAAAAAGATTAATACAAATAGCTGATCAAGCTCGTAATGAATATCATGAAGTCGGAGAAAAACTTCTTTCGATTAAACGTCAAATTGAGTACGTGTCTTTTGTGTTTTTAAAAATAATAAAATCATTATTGTTTTTTTTTGTTTTCGATTATTTTTCTCTATAGTGATTTAAAAAAACAATCAAATATTGATGCTGGACCACATGATGAATATGCAGCAATAATTGATCAATGTTTTGATTTTGAAGAACGAGAATATACATATCAAATATGTATGTTTAAAACTGCTAAACAAATACCAAAAGGTGGTGGTAGTGAAGTTATAATAGGTTATTGGGATTCATGGTGTGGACCAAAAGATAATAAATATTTAAAAATGAAATATGCTAATGGTGCTACTTGTTGGAATGGTCCAGCTCGATCATTAGTAGTTACATTACAATGTGGAGTTGAACAAAAACTTAGTGATGTACGAGAACCAAGTCGATGTGAATATACAATGACATTTGAAACACCATTAGCATGTGATGAAACTATTGCTACAACATCTATACATTTAGATCATGTAGAATTTTAATTTGACTAATCGAATTCCAAATTGGGTCATTTCTATTCTTGTTAGGTTTCATTTCTAGTTCGTATCTATGTTTTTTTTCCTTTATTCTTTCTATTGATAATAAGTATATTGTTGGATTAATATTGTTATTCTTTGATTTTTTTTTTTGTCACTTAATTTTTATACAAAAGAAAAAAAGATATGTTGTGGTGATTGGCTTTTTCAAAAACAAAACTTGCAATTGATGAGTATACAAAAAAACAACGAAAGTTTTTCGTCACAATAAATGTTTGATCAAAATGTTTTTAAATATCATATATTACAAGTATTCGAAGGAATAGAATCTTTTTTTTTCAAATAATAAACAAAAACAAACCTAAGGATCCCTTACGTCACATAGTTTATTTTTATCATTTATATCTAATTCTAATCATGTAGACAATTGTTGATACATCTTTTAACCTGAAATAATTTAATCATCTGAATGTATTGAAAATCCACAGGTATATGCGTTTCTGAGAACTTTTAAGCAAACAAATCAATAAAATATTGGAACTTCGCTTAGAAAAAAATCGTAATTTTTGAAGATTAGAAGGCCATATCGTGGACCCTCTGTTAGGAATACCTTTAAAGAGCCATTACTTTAAAAAGAAACAGTTATTCATAGATCAGACTTGTCATGAGATGAATTAATGCAAATATCACAAATGACTAGTCATTGAGACTCGATATATGCTAAGCAATATTTTCAAAACTCTTATTTATTATTGGTTCAAAAAACGACTACGCAGACATTTGTGATTTTGATCATAATTGTGTGCCCAATAAAAGGACAAAATCATGCTGAATCCATATTTCATCACAGGAATATATGATAGATACTTTGCTATTAGTACATTCTGAATCATTGTTTAGACATAATGTTGATTAAATCTAACGCTAAAGTTCAGTTTTTTTTTCTATTCTACATCTTTGAATGAACAAATAGTCTTTGTCTAGTAGTTTGGGTTAGAAAGTTTATTTTTATCTAAGAAAAAAGAATCAAATTCATTTTCTTTTCTAGAAATAACTTATCTAACTTAATCTATACCTCAACATAATCTTTATAATAAAAAGAAATTCTATTATTGCTTTTTTCCTTAAAGTCTCAAATTAAGTTTTATACTCATCTCATTTAAATTTTCTAAAAATAGTAATTTATTATTGCATGAAAAATGATCAAGATAAGAAAAAGAAAAATTTAATATACTACTCATTGAACGTAAATATATTTGTGAAAAATTTAATCCTAAATCGTATTTATTCATATTTTATGATAAATAATAATTTTTAAAATCATTCAAATTTGTCGAATGTCAACAAATGATCGTTTCTCATTTAATAACAATGAAAATCTTTTATTAAAAACATCTACATGTAACTATTGATGGGATCCAACAGCGATCGATATTCACTCTTAATTTTTAACGAAATTTATTGCATTCATTTGCATGAAGAACAAGACAAAACATTCTTACAAATAGCTACAGATTCATATCAGTACTCATCTCGAAGAATCAGTTAAATGACATTGAATAAAATATGATTAATTGTAGTTTCCCGTTGTTTTTTCAAATAGAATGAGACGAAGTTTTTTTTTTCTAGCTTATTATTGGCTATACACATATAATTCTCTTTCGATTGGTTCATTTCTCTTTTTTTACTTGATAAGTAAAGAAAAAGAACTTTTTTTTTCTGTATATAATGATCCTTTTTTTCTTCTATTCTCTCTTCCTCGCTGTCTTTCTCTTCCAATTACAAGATGATCACAGATTTAGTTCATTGAAAAAATAAGGCTCAGCATTTGGTCGCGTTCAAGTGTCTCACTTTACCTTTTTTTTTTCTCATATTAAAAGTTCAAATAAAAAAAAAAAAGACCATCATTGAACAGCAAGAAAAAAAAAAGAGAACATATCATCACATACACCTGCTCGAACTGTAAAGTGACTAACTACTGTCGGCTTTAATTATTGTTAATAACAAAAACGCTCAAGGGTAAGTCATTTAGTAAATCATAGAAAATTCTATTCGAATATTAATGATTGTTAACTTTATCAATGACATGATATGATATCGTCCAAAAAGTAGATCTTCATCTTGAACGTCTAGTTTCATTTCCGGTTGGTAGTCAATATCGGACGTTTTTCTATCTAAATCAATTATTTTCTTTCATAGGTTTTTGATTTTCTTTTTCTCGTTTACATTATTAACTTTCAAATAGGTCTCATATAATTGATAATATTGTCATGTCCAATGAATTAGTAGAGAAATGAGAAAACTAACACGCTTCATTTTTTTTTCCGATAACGTTCTTGTGTATATGATAGTTGTTGATGATGATGATGATGATGATCTGTTCTTGAGAAAAGAGAAGAAATGATTGATTTGTGAACGTGAGTGATGTACTAGAACGATTGAAGTTGTGTTTCTGGTTTCCACAAGAAAGCGAAAGAAAGTGTAAGAGAGAGGATTATACAAACAGATATAACAGAATCATTTAGAAAATTCTTTTCATATTGAACAAGAATACGCATTTACTTTAATGATCCAGTGAGTATTCAATATAACACCTATGTATGTGTTACATTGTATAGTACTTGACTAATGGCAAGAGAGAGACAAGCAAAAAAAAGACCTCATTCTGGTTTTTTTTTTGTATGCGACATGCGAAGAAGAATGAAATTCCTAATTGACTTGTGCACATCTGAAAAAAAAAAGAAGATTGCTATTACTACTATTCTTATATTTCAATTCTAATAACGAGTGTAAAAGTTCAGTTACAAAAAGGCATGATAATTAACATGAGTGCCTTTATTAAACAAGAAAAAAAACTGAATTCTAAAGTTATTTAAAAAAAAAAAAATTTTTTTGTTTTTTGTATTCAACAGTAATACTGCGCCAATGTCGTGTCGATCCGGTGGTGAACAACATCGAAATCGAGGAGGTAAGATGACAAAAATGCAAAACAGAAAGAGAATTAATTGATTGAATATAAAAATCATTTTAGAACGTCGATGGGATTCGATACGTGAATCTCAATTATATGGTCGTCGTGGTTCAATACAATTATGGCAATTTCTATTAGCATTACTAGAAGATGGTATTAATGGTACAATTATCATTTGGACAGGAAAAGGTTTAGAATTTAAATTAGTTGAACCTGAAGAAGTAAATTATTTCAAATTGAAAATTTCTTTAATCATTTTGGTTTTTATTTCAATAGGTAGCACGTTTATGGGGTGTACAAAAAAATCGTCCATCAATGAATTATGATAAATTATCTCGTTCACTTCGTTATTATTATGAAAAAGGTATTATGCAAAAAGTAGCTGGTGAACGTTATGTTTATCGTTTTGTATGTGATCCTCAAACACTTTATCCATTTATATCACGAAATGGACAAATCACAAAAGGTACAACAACAACAACAACAAATACAACAATAATTTCACCAAAAACTACAACCACAACAATAGCAACAACACCAATAAATAAATCTCCATCATTATCATCATCATCAAATTCAGCTTTTTATCCATCATCAACAAATAAAATCAAACAACAAATAAGATCTGATGAAAATTATGTACCATTTTATTCATCAACATTTTATCAAAATACATTTCAAAGTTCATTTTCTCCATATACAACACCAACATCAACAAATGTTTATGTTACTAATGATTCAAAAATTAATACAAATAATTCTTATTGGTCAAGACATTCATTTTATAATACACCAAATCATTATGGATTTCCATCATTTGATACAAGTGGTATTATATCATCAACACCACCACAAACAGTACCACATGAAACATTAAATAATAATTCAATTGATAATTTATCATCTTATTTTACATATAATCCAACCAATGGTATTAATAAATTATCAGCTATTCATAATGATTGTTCAACAAATTTTGATCTTTATTCATAAAACAAAAAAAAAAAACGGAAGAAACAAAATAAAACATTTTCTTTTCTTGTGTGTGTGTGCGTTTATGTCTTTGTCTATTTTTTTTTTCTTGTTCATTAAATCATTGATTAAAAAGTAATCTTTCACTTCTCAATATACTTTGACTAGCTTTACTCGGTGAAGGATTGAATGATACATTTATTGGTTGATTTTCACGATCATCTTTTTCTATGATATGAACTTTTTTTACTCGATATACACCATCATTTGTATTATTATTACGTTTACGTAATTCTTCAAGTACTTCATCATGTGTTTGTATTGAAAGAGGATTATAGTTTTCTTGAGGTAATACTGTTGATGGTTTTTTTAATATTGATGTTGGCGGTGGTGGAGGAGGATAATAAGGAACAGATTGATTAACAGATGAATCTGGTTGATCATTAAACCGTACTGATGGTTTTGGTTCGGTAGATGAAAAAACTGGTTGATTAACTGTATTATTTGATGATAAGTGAAAAAATCCATTATTATTTGAAGTATAATTCGACAATGCTGATACAGGAACAATCTATATAAATAATAAAAGAGAATTAAGAATTAAATAGAACATGGAAAAAAATTCACTTGAGGTTTTTGTTTTTCATAATAAAGCATTTGTGTAGCAGATGGATCAATGGGTTGTACTTCAAGATCAGTCTGTAGACCACGAGAGACAAATGTAGGTACTGTTGCATTATCTCCTGTTGTATTGTTACCACCATTAGAATTTGTAGTTGGCGATGAAGATGATGGAGTTGGTAAAGTTATTTGTTTTGATTGAGTATTCATGTTATACATTGTTGCTCTTGTATGTTGTCCAACCTATTAAAACATAATATTTATTTGATATTTGTTGTCTTATCAAATCATTAATACAATGCAAATTTCACTCAAAACATTACATATATATCTATTTCCAAAAAAAAACAAACAACAACTTCTTACTGGTTGCTTTGATCGATTGTCTGGTATATAGTATTTAAAATTTGATACATCAGTATTGATCAATTCATTACGTCCTGATAAAACACGATCACCATGAGGGGGACTATATATAGCTGTTGAACGTAATTGAAAGCTTGGCATAGCAGTAATATTTGATGCATCAGAGATATCTTTTTGATTATTAGTACTCATTTGTGCCGTTGTCATCGTTAATGACGTTGTCGTGGTACTAAGTGTATCAGTACTTGTTACTGATGAACTCATATACCAAAGTGCTTTGCCTTTATCTCGTTGTTGCTTTTCAAATTTACTGTATTTATACCATCGTGCATAAGCTGATGAAACAGTAGGTTTGGTGTTTTCAGCATCCGAAGTAAGGGATTTTGCAATAGAAAAAAATGTTGGTTTGGAATTACCTTTAACATATTTTATCTTTCTATTTAAAATTTAATTTTAGCCCAGGATTTTATACAAACTTTCAGTAGATACAGGAGTAGTTGACGTATTTTTAATAGTAGGGCCTGCAGAAGTAATTGTAGGAGTAGGAATCGTCTTAGTAGCTGTAGAAGTAATTGTGGGAGTAGGAGTCGTAGTAGTAGTCGTAGAAGTAATTATAGGATTAGGATTAGGATTAGGAGTAGTAGCAGTAGCAATAGTATTTGTAATAGTGTTTGTTGTTGTTGTTGCACTATTGGTCTTAGGCGATGTAATAGTAGTGGTATGATCAGTAGCACTATTCATGGTAGTAGTAGGAGGAGGAAGAGGGGTTCCAGTATTCGTTTTAGTAGTAGCAGAAGGAGGCGCAGCTGTTAAAGAAGGTGAAGAAGCAGCTGAAGTGCTTGACTTGCTACCCATCTAGATTCTTTTTTTCAAAAAATAATTATGTATTGGATTGATATAAATTCAATTATGTTTTAACATGGCTTCATTGTATAATTTAGTTTTTTTAGTTTATCAATGATTAAAGACCAATGAAAAAAAGAATTTGTTCAATAGATTATAAATTTTATAATTTTAAACATGTTCTATTTTTCAAACAGTTACGAAAACTTTTAATAAATCTTATAGACATGTATATTTGATATGATTTTATGTTAAGTAGTGACATCGTCTGAATGTCAATCGTATATTTAACAGGTTCTATATTTTATCCAATCAGAATAAAAAACAGAGACCTTTGTGATGTCGAAATGGAAAATGATGACCCGATGAATATCCGCGTGCACGTCAACACTTCTTCAATTAGACAATTATTGAGTTGTTTTTAATTTTAATTTTTTCAACTTATCTTATAATTTTTATATTGCATTTGATTTTCTTTGATAGATCAGGTATCCGTAACTTTATAAATCAAATCCGGCCTCAACAGACCATTAAACGGATTGTCTTTATTTGGTTTTTCTTTTTTGTTTATGTTTTATTAACTCATTTCCCATGCCTTCATCTGTTACATTCATCTATTTCGTTTAATTTTCGTATTTATTTAAAAATATTTGTATTATTACTTCTACTTAAATTGTTTTTATTGTGTAATTAATGGAAGCAAACAAAGATTCCGCACTTCATTATATAGAACTTGCTGAAAAAGCAATACTTGCTAATGATAATGAACGAGCACTTCGATATCTTGCAAAATCTGAAAATCTTTTTCCAACACAAAAAGCCAAAGGTTAGTCTTATTATTTGTATTTTTTTTGTACTAGTTCATAAATTAATTTTTGTTTTCTTGTCAATAGATCTCATGGAACGACTGATGCATGTTAATTCTCATTCGACATCATCTTCATCAACTAGTAGTAATAAAACTCATGAATCTACATCAACATCTTCAAATCATGAACAAGCAACAACAAATGGAGCATCATCAAATACAAGACAACGAACAACATCAACATCACATACACATTCAACATCATCCAATGATTATACTGCTGAAGAAGCACAAGCTGTACGAAAGTAAGTACACATATGGATTGTTATTTTTTTTTTGTTAATAAAGATGTTATTTTAAATATTAGAATAAAAACATGCAAAGATTTATATGAAATTCTCGGTGTTAGTAAAACAGCAACTGAAGCAGATCTAAAGAAAGCTTATCGTAAATTAGCGCTTCAAGTAAGAATAATAAAACAAAAAAAAAAAGAGAAGCTTCTATTATATTTGATTATTTAATTCTTATCTAGTTTCATCCAGACAAATGTAAGGCACCAGGTGCTACAGATGCTTTTAAAGGTTATCTATCATAATACATTTTTAATTATTTTTTTTTTCGTTTTTTTTTGAATTATAAATAATTTGTTTGTTTGTTTGTTTTTAAACAGCTATTGGTAAAGCTTTTTCAATTTTGAGCGATCCTAAAAAACGTGAACAGTACGATCAATATGGTCATGCTATGGAACCACAATATCATCGTGGTGGTAATAGTGGTGGACGTGGTTCACAACACTATTATTATTATGAAGATGATGATGATTTTTCAGCGGAAGAAATTTTCAATCTTTTCTTTGGATATTCGGGTATGATATTTGTTTGTTTATTTTAAAGTGAAAGAGACAAAAAAAAAAAGCTAAAACCTATGTTCTTTTTTATTTATACAAATGTATCAATAACTTTAATTTAGTGTTGAGTACCGCGGATGTGAAAAAAAATTGACGGGTCAGGTCCAGATTGGAGATTATACCCGACAATATATGAAATTTTGACGTTTCAAAATATTCTATCTATAAAAGTGTAGAAATGAAAACTGATTCAATCGTGATTTCGCAGTTTATTGTACTCGAGAACAGGTCACACACATGGAAAAAAAAATTCATCTAGATATGACGAGGAACCATATGATGAAGTTATTGCATACATAGAAAGGAGAATAATTTGTCAAAAAGGTAAACATGTATTATTGTTATGGAAAAAGCAATCATGTATGTATTTATAATTATGACGTTTGGCACCAACATTTAGTTCTACTCTAGCGTTATCAACAACAAGCCAACATATAATTAGCGAAATCGATCGGATTTTCGAAACGGAAAGATACCAAATGATTTCTGAATACCATGTTCTTTTGTGAAATTTGGGATGATCTCTTCTTTTTGTTGCTGTTTTTGGCAGAAACTAAATAGTATACTTTTTCGCATAAAGTAATGACTTTGAAACCATTGCTATGACTGCAAAAGTATCAGTCAGCATTTCGATTGGCTTCGGTTCAGTTTCCAGCATAAAAAGAACTACGGATCCAGATATGGATTTTAAAAATCGTATCCATGCAGGATATTGTTCCAATTATAATGTTTAAATTTCTATATATATTCAGTTTAGACATGAGTAAGATTGCACTTTGTTTAAGTTTCGATCTCATTACATCCATATTTGATGACTGATTATTAGAATCTATATCAATCACTCATTATGATCTTAGATTTATTTTAATTAATATATGTAGGGCCAAGATCTGGTACATATCGACGTCGTCAACCACATCCATTTCAATTTACTACACATTCAACACATAATCAAACACAAAATGTTTGTTAATTGAATCATTTAAGTTATACTCTAATTTATTATATTTTAGACTACACATACACTTGCACAATTATTGCCTTATCTATTTCTATTTCTTATTTCAATTATTGGTACATTTTTAGTGAGTGAACCTCAATTTCAATTGCATCGAACTGGGTATATTCATTTCTATTTTTTGAAATATATATATATAGATATAATTTATTTGTTTGTATATTTAATAGAAAATATACTAATGCACGTGCCACTCGTGTGTCAAGAATTGAATATTTTGTTAAACCAGATTTTCGTCCACCAAAAACAGATGCTGAATTGGATAAATTTGAATCATCAGTTGTTGACGAATATGTATCCGATTTACGACATCAATGCTATCGTGAACAACAATATAAGGAGTCAATGCTTTGGCGTGCACGAATGATGAATGACAATGGATTATATCGTGAAGCACAAAAACAAGGCACACCATCTTGTAATAGACTAAATGACTTTATACAACGCGGACATGCTTAGTCAGTGTTTATTAAATATTTTTAATTCAAAATGCCACAGTGAGACATTACTTCTTCAGTTTTTTCCTCTATCTTTGTTTATTATTTCACTTTTTTTTTTTGTTCTCGTTCTTATTCTTTCTCTCTCTCTTATGTGATGCAATTATAACAGAAAAAAGAAAGGATGCTTGTTGCAAATAAATAGATAAAAAAAAAAAAAAGAAAAACGAACAAATACTACAAATAAAATAACATAAAATAAAATTTATTTGTATTAACCATAAACATCCATTTCAAGTTTAGCCTTTTCAAGTTGATGAACAAGAGCATAGAATTGTTCTAATGTAACACTTAATGGAATATCTGTACGATTTGTACCATTATTTGACATTGTTGTTAATTTTAAATAAAGTCGAGCTGTACCATTGTTATCATCAGTTTTACTATTTGCCACATTAATAGCAAATTTCCAATCAAGATCAACTAATTGTTGATTGGGAGTAGCCATCTATAACAAAAACAAATTTTTATTATAGAATATAAACCAAAAAACAAACAACAAAAAAAAAGTATATATAATAGACAAAAACGAAGAAACGAGGAATGCATACTTCAGATTGTTAGTTACTTGTCTTTGTTTTCAAATATCTATTATACACAAGAGAATATTTTAAAATATGAAGTCATTGTCATGGCAAAAAAGATAAGAATAGTAAAAAAAAAACAAGAAGAGGTGAAAAGAAATGTTTAGATAAAAAAATATAAGCAAGTATAAGAAATATCTAGAACTATGACAACATTTGTAGGTTTTAAGGTTTTTTTTTTAATAAGAAATTAATTATTTGGCATAGGATGCTTGACCAGCAAGTAGAAGCCATCGTTTAAATTCATCATAGAGAACAAGAACAAGTGATGAACCGACACTACGATAAATATTAGATAAATTGCCTTTGAAAAAAGCCGTTAGACCTTCAGTAACAGCAATCTTTCGTGCACAATCCATTGTTCCTCGATAAATAATATCACCACGACCACTTTGCATCATCAAACGACTTAAAATGAATATATATATATTAATACAACAGTTTCGAACATATGCTTTTTTTTTTGTTTAACCTACCGTCGAATTGTATCAAGTGGATACGCAAGAAACTCCGACGATGATGTAATAAATTGTGCAAAAAGAAAACGATAAAATATATTTGGATTTGGATCATCACCAAACATAAATCTTTTTCCTTGAAAAAAAAAACACATAAAAAATGACGAATTTTTCTTTGCAATTAAAGGTGTCTTCTCGTTCGAACTACTTCTGGTGGTTCTCGAGAGTACAACTATTTGAGCTCAAATTTTTACCACAGCTAGATTATCGAATATGATAGAATCCATATTCGAGAAAAACAACTTTAAAGAAGATCGTCATGAGTTTTTGAACGGGTTTTCAAAAACTGTCAGGTCTATTCACGATCCAAGTCTTATTTTGTTCACGTGGGCTGAAGTCTTTTTCTGAAGATACCAGAGATATAGTCCAAGAGGTGTTTTTAAACTTCTTGGAAGCAGCCTCGAGGATGTTTGGAGATGTCTTCAAAACTTCTGAAGATCTGTTTTAAAAATATTTTTCCTCGAACATGCACCCATCATTTTTGATAATCCAGTTGTGGTAAAAATTTGAGCCTGACCGGTTATACGCTCACGGACACTTAGAAGTGGTCCAAAAGAGAAGAGGTACTCTTAAACTATCTTACCAGCATCATAACCACCAAAATAAAATGCTCGATAGACAAATATACCAGCAACACTAATAGCAAAACCTCGATAGAGACCTAAGAATATAATAGAATTTTGGTTTAATAAAAAAAGTTGTTTTTTTTTTCATGTTTTCCAAATAAATCTACCTTGAATACCATCAGCTTTATAAATTTTAATAATACAATCATTCATGCCTTTAAATTGTCGTTCACTAAGTGATTTTCCGATATCAACACCAAGACGTGTTCGAGCAAAATCAAGAGGATAAACAAATAATAAACCTGTTGCACCAGCCATACCACCAGCAAATAGATTACCAAAAAAAAATTTATATGGATTTAATTTTGGATTATAATCAGCAAACATTCGTTGATAACGTTCTTTAAATGCAAAATTTAATGCTTGCTTATCAAAGGGGAAAAAAAATAAACAATATAAATTAATTAAACTTTTAAAATTTGAGATAAAAATTAAATTACTGTTGGAAAATAACGAATAACGTTTGCCCAATTACCACGCCAAAGAGAAATAGGTCCTTCTTCTCGAATACATCGAATAAAACAATCACCAAATCCTTTGTATTTTCTTCCTTGTACAATTTTTTGATTAACATCTTGTGTTTGTAACAAAAGTTTTACACGTTCAAGAGGTGCTACAGCTGTTTTTGAAATAGCTCCCTAGAAAAAAAAAAGAACCAATCGACATGGAAGTTTTACAGATGTAAAATGAAGAATGGTGTTATACATACAGCTAAAAAGAAATAAAAATGAAAACTGTGTTCATTAAATAAAACAAAAGAAAAACAAACCTGTTCCACCGGCAAGAAAATCGAGTAAAACATCTTTAGTCGTTGCTGTTTGCTTTTGTGAAGTTCCACTTGGACCACCCATATTAATCTAAAATAGATGAACATAAATAATGAGTTTTAGATTATCTCTTTCATTTGTTTTGATGTATCTAAGGCTAATTCTAACAAGATCTTATGCGTAGATGGATGTAGCCACATCCACCTCCAAGAAGATGAGAAAAACAACTGTAAAATGGTAACCAATCATATTAATCCTCGTCATGATAGTATGTCAGAGTCCGCTAATTCCCAATGTTATATATGACTAACTTATGAATTTCATAGAATTCTTTTCGTTTTCAAAAGCAACAAGCTCGCTTTTCGTTTAGCACGCTGTCGATATTGTGAAACTCAAATAAAAAGTAAAAGCTATATATTGTCTGTGCTTCTCTAAGAGAACGGAAATCTCCTGCAGCTAAATATCGAAGCTTTGTTTTCATTGACTCTGTAAAAATCAATGTGCCCATTTTATATTAAATTGTAAAGTTTTGAAAGTAGCCCGAAGTCTTTCATCGGATCGGATGAATCTAGCCGTGAACAACCGTAAACTATATAAAACGACAGTGAATGGTTTTATTCATTAAAGAAAACTGTAATCATCATATTGATTATAATTTAATCTCATGATTTCTTTCTGATGTTATTGATTGAGAATGAACAATACATATATCATAGAAAACTTAATCAAATAAAAATTTTGAACAATTTTTAATCAAAGTCACTTTATAGTAATATCAATTATAATTTATAAAGTACTACGTATTTGTCTACTTGTATTGCATCAATAAAATAAATCTTCATTATTGAGTAAGAATTTGGAATTTATGAAACTAATGGAAAAATTTTTTTGAAGGAAACTAAATTGATCTAGGGTATCTTACAAGCCATCAAGAATGTGTCAGTAAATTGATATTTTATCATGTACAGTCTATATCATTTTGTTTCTGCCAACAATCTATTTTCAATATAATCTATTAAAAGACAGGTCTATCCATAAACAACGTCCAGATAATAGAGTTCGACGGTTTCAAAACGATGAAACCAAGAATCAAACCGAGGATTTTTTGTTTAACCATTGAGGAATATGTCAAATTTTTCATCTCAATAACTTAATAGTGAAACTTTCTCATTAGTTGGTTAAAATTTTGTATCTATCTAATGATTTAACGATTTCGGTTCCATGTAATATTTTAACAACCAAACTGAAACCAGTTTTGCTTATTTTTAGTGATCAGAACCGTCGACCTCTACTACATATAAGGGATCAAATATTTCTGGATGTTCAGACACTGTCTATGAATATTTTTCTTTTCATACAACTTTTAGAGAATTTCTGAACGAGATTTTTAAAATACCAAATAATCTGAATGAATCAGTTGAATATGAATATGTTGTTGAAATAATTGAAGATTAGGCTATATGAATACATAGTTATTTTCTCGAGCAGTAATATAAACATTGTAAGACTTTTGAATGTCATTTGCATTGAACTTCATTTTTTGTTTCTATTATTTTTTGCTAATTAATATCGAATGTATTTAAAAAATCAAACAAAAACATTGCAATATCTATTATATTTTGGTTTGTTGTTTATGATATATGTGTGGTGTGTCTTTTTTTATATTCATTCTTTTATTCAATAAACTGTCATTTAATAGAAAAGAAATGATATATATGAATAAGGAGACTCTTTCTAGAAGGTCGTTTTTGTATGCTTGACGTTCACGAGAGTCGATGAAATCGAATAGAGACAACTGGGGAGTCAAAATATATAACATCTACTTGAGAGGTTCTTGATCGATAGCCTCTAATCTGATTTATTTTCTCATTTGTTAGCGCACAATATTATTTGAACACGATATTGTGTTTCATTGTTATTTGTCAATATTTGTGGGCATGCAAGTCGAATTAATGTTTAAAATATATTTCTCTTGTTGTTCTATTTCCTGAGTGCTTCTTTTTTTTTGCACTTTTATATTTTCATCATCCATAGTTACTAAAAGTTTCTATAATAAATAATTATTAAATAAAAAAAAAAGAATTCAAAAAATAAATGTTTATTGTATGGAAACTTTTTTTTTTTCAGCTTTTGACGTCATTCGATCGACAAATAGGACAATTTTATATGATTTATTTTTTACTTTTATACTAATTTTTGCTATCTTATATGAATACAAAATAACAGCAGTATGCAAAAATAACTAAGATATACATGTATGGTTTTTAGACATACTTAACTTGATTGCTTTTTTTTTTTTGCTAAATAAAATCATCTTCAATTTATTTTATTTAAAACTCAGCATGATATTACATTCAACTGAGTATATGGATTTTATTTTTCTTCTTTCAATTTTATAACAGTATGAAGGAGAAATATGTCAGGACATAGATATATGATACTTACCGTATAAGTGAAGTATTCTTTGATAGAACAAGTACAAAAAGAACTTTTATCAACAATTGAACGACATCTATTTTCATGCACATTAAAATCTATAGGTTTATTTGACAGATGAATCTTTGCTATTTTATCTTGTTCATTCTTTTGTCACACTATCGGTGACAAATGAACATTTACATAACTATGGTATGTTTAACTTGACAATCTCGTTTATTTATCATCATCTATTGTTCGGTTATTTTTTTTCTCTCTTTCTTTATATTACGTGAACCTTCTCATTCTTCATTTCTTTTCTTTTTCGTTTTATCTTTATCTGTAGATGTATTCATCTTTGAATAATATCATCAACTATATTGAATTTGCTATTAATAGCTACAATAAGCGACTATTATTTGTATTCTTAGACGAATTTGGTTTACAAGTAAAGCAACTAAACAACCAGTCAAACGCGTCGTATAACATCGTTCGATTCTTTTTCTATCATCCCTTGCCATCATCGGTCCATTCTTGTTTCATATCACTCAACTGACGAGTAAGAATTAATCATGTTCTTTTAGTTTTCTTAGTTTGTTGATAAATTTTTTTTTTTCATTGTTTTTCTTTTACCTGGAAAAGAAATATTTAATATAAAAATATTTTATATTTTCTAGGCCAATGATTTTTTTTTTTTTTGTTGTTTTTAGTGAGAAATGTTTTTTCAAAAGTAGACGACGCAAACAAATAAATATTAACATTGTTGTATGACAGTATTATTGAAGTTGAGTTTGATATAAAACTTAGTTTTTATTCTTTTTTTTTTCCAAACATATAAGCAATAAATAGAACTCTTAAAAAGAAGTATCATATATATTAAAAAGCTTTTTACAATTAGTAACAAAATATCATTTAACTATTCTAGAGAGACAAAAAAGTGTGAAGAGAATTTTTTTCTTTTTGCTGTTGAATAGTTTTTCAATAGAAGAAAACAAAATTGAATTATATAATACTGTTCTCGTCTTACTCGTTCGTTACATTGGCATCATCGTCTAAGTACTAATTAGAATCGTAAAAACGAAAGTAACATAGATGTCATCTTGCTTCTTTGCGCAGTGTTCATTGAGTCAGTTTTTTCTTTTTTTTTTTCTTTCTTTCTTATTATCGATCGATCATTGCACTAAGAATATTTTGTTAAGCCGATGCTCGCTCGACCTACAGCAACACAGCCACTAAAGAAAGAAAACACGCGAGCAAGTATACATGAAAGAACGGCATGGAGACGGGAGGCAAATAGAGGCATGTTCCTCTTCCACTGCTTTGAGTCGTCGAAGCAGAAGCAGACGGAGAAGAAGAAGAAGAAGAGAGAAGAATAGTATGGGGTGACTTTGGCGTTTAATGCTGATTGGTGGTGTGATGCTTACGGGTTTGTATTAGGCAACAATTGAAAGTCTTGACGATCACGTTTCTAATAAATAATTATTATCAGTTGTTAGTTGTTCTGTTCTTTTCTCATTTTTCATCATTGTATCTATGATCAACAGTGAAATTTTTGTGAAGTATGTGCTTACATGTACCAATTTTTATAATGATGTCAATATTTCTGATTATAAAGACTTAAAAAAAAAATAATTATTGTTTTCAGCATTGTGGTTTATGTTGTCATGATGACGAACAAACTACGACCCGACATCACAAGTGTGTCAAAACAAGAACGAAGAAAAATCATTAGAAAAGAAAACATAAGAGGTTTTTTCAGATCGATTCAATAAGACTCCAAAAAATACTCGTCGTATAAATAATGTAAAATCCTTTTTTCCTCGTCGTGCATCCATTTTCTTAATTATTTCTTTGCCGTTTCTCCGCATAAAATTTTCCACTTCATATTATATTCAGCTTGCATGAAAAGTGTACTTTCTGTGAACGATAGAAAGAAAGGAAGTATATTATTTTTTACCTACAATACTCGATCATCTAAGGTTTATGGATTATATTTGCGTATGCAAGCCATTATATACAAGACAAAATAGGATAGGCGTTCGAAGAAAAATGCGTATAAAAAAAAGTTTCCAACTTTAATTCGAGAAATAATATTTACATTTCTTGTAAAGACTAAATAGAAAGAAAATTTTACGTATTTATTTTTTTTTATTATAGATATCGTTGAAATGGCCAATAATCGACCTGTGTCAATGGTGATTTCATCAAATAATGTACCTGATGAAACAATTATAAATGGAGCTAAAAGTATTTTGTCAAAAAAAGAATCACTTTCAATACGTTCATCAAATCAACAAAATATACCAATAAATAATGTCATTAATGCAAATTCATCTTCATCATCAATTGATAGTGCTGGTGCTAAAAATACAATATTTACTGATAAACAAATATCCTCCCAATTAAATTCAAATACAACAGTATCATCAACAACAACTGATAGTGAATTAGAAAGTGAACAAGAAGAACGATATATTGATAATAATAATTTATTAGAATTAAATAATATGCCAATACAAATGCAACAACAACAACAATCATTATCAAGACATGATAGTGGACAACAAAAAAATGATGTTAATTCACAAGAACAATTATCACGACGTGAAAAACATTTTCAAAAATTATTTAAATCTGAAATACCTGATGAAATGCCAGAACTAATTGATTCTTATGTTTGTGCATATCAAGGTAAGACAAAAGAAAAACGAAACAAAAATTTTCTCAATATAAAAAAAAAACTTTTTTTTTTTTTTTTTTTTTTTGTTTAATTATTATCTAATTTTGTTAGGTGATATATTATTACAAGGTAAAATGTATATAACTGATCGTTATCTATGTTTTCATTCACGAATTATATCTTATGTAACAAAACATGTTTATCGTTGGGAACAAATTGAAAATGTTACAAAAGAACGTGTTGCATTCATATTTCCAACAGCTATTGGTATACAATTAAAACATTCAGGAAAAAAAGTTATTTATGCATCATTTCTTCAACGTGATCAAGCATATGATAAAATTTTTTATATGTGTTCACGTTATAATAATGATACAAATTCATTACAAGATGATGATGACAATCATTTAACACAAGGTGGTACATTAAAAGCTGTAAATAGTAATTTTAATTATAATGAAAAAATGAAAAAATCAAAACGTGATATGGCTTATGATATGGTTGATGAACAAGAACAAGATGGAGTTTTACAAATGTGTTTAACATCAAATACAACAACAATAATAAATAATAATAATAATAACAATAATAAATGGCGACAACAATCTATTTCATCGAAAAATTCTTATACTAAACAACAATTAAAACAATCAAGAAAATTATTTAATTCTGATAAAAATAAATCATTTAAACATTCAAATACAAATCAAAGTTTCACAAATAGTTTAAGTGAAAATAATTCTGATAATAATGAATTCAATAGAAATTCACGTATCAATAATAATAAAAATCAAGAAAATGAAACTAATACAATATTAAGTAAGGATTAATTATTTTGATTATTATTTTGTATTAATCATAACATAGACAATCTTCATAAGATTAATATAAGTTCAAATAGTTTCTTAGTCATAATTCTATTTTTTCAACATGATCTATATTTTTTGCCGTGAATCTTCGTGACCTCATTATAATTTCATTTGAAAGATTTATAAGCACGATTGGTTTAAGCTATGTGTTCTTTTAGTGTTATTATGATCTACTGCTGGCGATAAGACAAAATCGTGACTTACAAGTCAGTTTTCTTATTAAAAAGAAAAAAGAATCTATTTATAGTACCGCAAAAAAATATATAGATGAGTTCAGGAGGCGTAATCGGATGCATTCCATGATTTGCACCCGAAGCATGAGCTGAATTGAGCTGAGTAATAAGGTTCGAGTCAAAATAATTGGTCTTTAGATATACAATTACATCAAGTTAAATTAAATCTATTTCAATCAAGTAATAATATAAGAACGAGACTAATTTAATGATAGTTAATTGCATTAACATATCAGAAAATTGAAAGGTCTATCTTCGAATTTACAAACATAGTTTGCAATTTCTACATATCTTCATAGATAAGTCGATTTATTTATTTTTTTTTTTTGTAAACTATTTTATCTATTAAAACTATCTGATGAATTTGCTGCAGGAAATTATATCTCTTTCCGTTTTTTTTACTCTTTTCTAAATCTTAATAAGGGTAAAGCTTATCGAAAGAAAATGTTGAAACATGGGTTCGAAGAAATCAGTTTCAAAGAGGTTTTTCATGGGGTTTTTAATAAAAGTGTCCGGTCTCATAACCTTGCATCAAGCTGCGTCACAACTCTTCAATATAATCTCATCCTAGACAGCTGAATAAGTTTTTAGTAATAGCAAAGGTTATATATCAGAGATGTAATCATCATCCAGATATTGGAAAGTCAAGGTAATCAAAAGGAATTCCATATTTTGAGAAGTCATTTTGAGATCGTATATGTCAATCTTTTTACTTCTCACTAGTTAAATTATGTATCACAGTGTTTCAAGTTTCCTCATTGTAGACTGATACTGTAATTACTATTGAATTTTCAATTTCTGAATGATGATTATTGCCAAAAGCAAACGTTGTCACTACACCATTAGTAGAAATATTATAAGAAGTTTGTTGAATAAAAATTTCTAATTGTTTAATACACTTGTGGAGATGTGATTCACTGGTGGATACGCACTATTGTGTTTTGTAGGTGGTTAGTAGAGCTCGTTCGGTCCAAAATTTTCGTATCTGCTTAAGAGAAAAGTTTCAGACGCAAACCCGACCGGCTCTAGAAGTCACATATAAAAATCAAAGGTTTTCGAAAAATTCATTCGTTTATGAAATTCCATGGAGTTATCCAAGCAGATTATTTTAGTAAAAAAAAAATTTAAGTTAACAGATTGACAATGGCAAAATATTGAAAAAATTTTCACAGCACTAGCGATACATCAATTAGAAGTTTTTCGATATTTTGATTATGTCACCGGTATTTATTTGTTAAGTTAATTCGTTTTACTAAAATGATCAACGCTGATAATGCTATATAGTATAATACACAAAACTGATCTTCAAAGTATCGTTGATTTCTATGGTGGATGATGCATAAAAGTATCGAATTATACTTCTAGAATTTTGAAACACTGCATGATTCTCTAGTAAATTATTATCCTATCAATCATTGCTAAAAATCATTTTCAATGAACGTTGAATAATTATAAAATTCACTTCTATTACTCCTTATTTTATAAGATATACTCCTTGAAAATAATATTTATAATAATTCTCTAAAATCAAATTTCTTCCAATATATTCAAATTAAAAATAAAATAATTTATATGTTTCTTATTTAGATAATCCTCCTGTAGTATTTCGTCAATCACATAATACTTCATTACGAACTAATCGAAGTCGTAGTCGTGATCGAACATTATCCCCATCAAATCGTACATCATCAAATATCCGAACTTCAAATTCTTCAACAAGTTCAATGACAAATACTGATTCTTTAATAATAAATTCAAATAATGATGGTTTATTAGGAAAATATAGTCGTATAATTATTTTATCTGTTATATCTATTGTAAAACTTCTCATTGAATATTTATTATTATTATATAATCGATTTAAAACTTATCCAATTAAAACATCATTGATATTGTTAATATTTATTATAATTTTAATAGTGCATTCATTTTATTTAATTAACTTAGCCTATCGCATTGAAAATCGTTTACAATCATTACATCATTTATGGCCATCATCATCAATGAAAAATTTTCGACGATTACAAAACGAACTGTAACATGAGACACATCAACTTGTTCACATTCAACATATTAAATATATATATATATATGCATCCGTCCAATAAATGCTTTTAAATAAGCATCTTTTTCCGGTTGTAATTTTTTTTCCATCCGGTGATAACAATACTCTTCTTTTAACTTTAATTCAAGCACATTCTATATCGACTTCACATATACATTCATATGTATCCTATTTCCTTCTTTGTTTGTGCGTATAAATACGAACAGTTTCTATCTCTTCTTTTTGTCTTCTTATTGTTGTTCTTAGTTTTGTTCTTTTATTCCGCGAATTGTCATTGTTTGTACAGTTTAGTCTATTTGGCTTTTTGTTTTTTTTTTGCACAAAATGTTATGATTACAGGTCACATCCATATCCTCTTTATGTCAATCCTAATTTTATTCGTGTGTATGGTTTTGTCATTCTGTATTAGATAACATGACGATATCATATTAGACGTTTCTTTTTATATCTGATAAAAAAAGACGTTCTATCATTTGGTTTTTTTTTTTCGTATTAATACAAGAAAAATACATATCTATTATATGTGATGAAGGATAAAAAATGACAAGAAATTATTTCAATAATGTTTCTCATGACGAAGAAGATCGAGCAGGTGCTGGAGG